AGATCTGAGTCCTGAAGATGATGAACGAAAAAGGAAGACTTTTACAGTCTCTTACCTCATCGATTCGTTGGGTTTAACTACAAAACTCGCCGAATCGATCTCAATGAAAGCTAATTTCGTTGATCAAGGAAACCCAGATTCGGTTCTGAAACTTCTGAGAAGCTACGGATTCAAAGATTCTCAAATCTCAAGTATCATTACGACTTACCCACGATTCCTAATCGAAAACCCAGAGAAGACCCTTCGTGCAAAACTCCATTATCTCAAGCTAAACGGAGCTTCAAGCTCTGAGATTACAGATATTGTTTCAAAAGTCCCCAAAATCTTGGGAAGAAGAGGGTCTGTCTCTATTACTGGTTACTTTGATTACGTTAAAGAGATTTTGCGGGATGAAGATAAGGGTACAAAGTCTCGAAAGGGAAAGAAGCAGACGAATCGAACACGAAACGTATCGGTTTTGAGAGAATTAGGTGTTCCTCAGAAACTGTTACTCAACTTGTTGATCTCTAAAGCAAAACCAGTTTGTGGGAAAGAAAGATTTGAAGAATCAGTGAAGAAGATCGTTGAGATGGGATTTGATCCGACTAGTCCAAAGTTTGTCAATGCTCTGTATGTTTTCTATGAGCTGAGTAATACAACAATAGAACAGAAAGTGAATGTGTATAAAAGGTTAGGTTTTTCGGTTGATGAAATCTGGACAATTTTCAAGAAATGGCCTTTTTGTTTGAAGTACTCGGAGAAGAAGATAGTTCAGACGTTTGAGACATTGAAACGTTGTGGTTTAACTGAAGAAGAGGTACACATTGTGCTTAAGAAGTACCCGGAATGCGTAGGGAATTCGGAGAAGAAGATTGTGAATTCTACTGAAACTTTTCTAGAGCTAGGATTTACGAAAGACGAGTTCATGATGATCATTAAGCGACATCCTCAGTGTATAGGATTAGCTCCGGATACGGTGAAGAGGAAGGCTGAGTTTCTAGTGAAGACAATGGGTTGGCCTTTAAAGGTTTTGGCTTCAACACCAATTGCATTAGTATTCAGCTTGGAGAAGTTTATTTATCCGAGGTGTAATGTAATCAAAGCTCTTTTGTCGAAAGGATTGATCGATGAACTACCTGCAATCTCGACTGTGTTGACGAGTCCCAAACAGAGGTTTTTGAAGCTTTTCGTTAAAAAGCATGATGATGTGTTTCCTGAGTTGATCTCTATCTTCACTGGAGATTGCGTTCCAATAGATTAGAAACCATTGTGAACCTCAAAGGTCGTTTATTACTATGATTTGTATAATTGCAAGTGTAATATGTCTCCAAAGGTGCAACCTTTTTGTTGTAAAGAAACATTTTCACTATTTTGTTCTGTTTCTTTGTCATGTGTTCAAACACAAATTTGCCATCTTTATAAACACATTTCACAAGATCATCAAAAAGGATTCTCTATCTACTAAGTAAAATTTAGTCATTTCTCAATTAAGGGTGTTTAATATTTTAATCTCAAATCTCTCTTCTAATTTGTTTATAAAAACTTTTCAGGTTCACAAGAGAATTTCAATCGGAACACTTGTCACTTTCTTATTATCTCTTTTTGTATAAATAAAATAATTTTTGTAAGGCTGAGAAATAGATAAGAAGACAGAGAAGGTTAACCACTCCATATCTACACTCTTTTCTTTCCGTTCCTCAA